GTTCGTTTAAGGTCACTGTGATATTTGATATAAGATCGTGCAGCTGAACTTGAAACTTCTTTAATTTCGGGTAGAGCGTCGAGTATTAACGTAATTGAGAACGACGAGAAACTAAGCTTCTCATTCGTTTCCTTAGAGTTCTTTTGAAGTGTGTGTTAATTTCATCAGAGCCTCCTTCGATTTTACAAGAAGCGCACACAACGCATGCATATCGAAGTACGCTGTATCAACTACATTATGTTTTCTATGAGAGATATTCGTAAAACCATGGTACATTTTAGAATTATATTGATTTTCTTTTAAGGTAGAACGGCGGCTGGAAAAAGCAAGGAGATACATTTATGAGAGGCTTTCTTTAATAAGTTCATTGGGTATTGCTGCAAGTCAGCATTATTGTGTAGTGCACCGATTCGAAAAAGTTTGAAACAGCCCGCTCAAATAATTTTTTGTAGTCGCTAGACATTTGTAGACGTCAACGAGTAGTAATTAGACATTTTTTGGAGATACGTCATTTGGCAGATCAATGTACAGCGACGTGTTTACGTAAAATCGGTCAACGTGGTTTTAACAATGTTACTCTTTTGCCAATTAAACGTTTTTCTGCCGTTCTTCATTGCTATTATGAAGAAATTTGCTGAAAAATCGTGACTTACAATGGCTGACATTCAGTACATCCTAGTAGCGTGACCGCGTTTTTCAAAAACAATAATAATAATAATGACTACACTGAAGAGGGGTGTTCGAACCTGAATAATCTTTGCTCATTTAGATTTTTGAAATAATCATTTTTACAATTCAGTTTGCATACGTCTTCCTGCAAATGGCGCAAACATTGATGGGCAAATATAATGACATAGCATTAACTTAGTTCTATAGAAGTTAGAAGTTGGTTTTTTTTTTGAAATCGATGTACGAAGCGAACTAATGAAATCATTTAATCCAACCCGAAGATATTCATAACGATCCCACTTTGCACACGAATGAACTTCATTTATTGTTGCTTGATCGATCTAAGGCCAGCTCTATGGATTTATTGTTAATTCGAGTAAATTGAAAATATCCACTATACGCACAAATACTTAGTTCGACTACATAGACATCCGTCACTGAGAGACAATCGTCACAGATAGGGCGCTTAAGCACAGCACTAACAAAACCTAGTTTAGCAACCATCCCAGGCCAACCAACGTCAAAAGGCATACTTTAAAAACGGTGTTTAGGCTGACCATAGACGATTCAAAGTTGTCTTCTTTTAAAAATTCGTATTAATAAAACAAAAAAAATAGCATCGAGCGTCTAATGAATTTGATAAGATAGAAACCGTAGAATCTCCAAATCAAAAACAAATATATCTGTTGCATCTATTGACCTGCAGAACGAACGTACCAACGCGGATAGATAGCTCGGTTAGAGTAAATTAAAACAATCAGACTGTTATTGATTTATTGTCGAAAGTACCATTAAATTATATAGTAGAGATATACATTTTTAAAGTAAGATCCTTTAGCTACAACCTGAATTGAATCTATGTCCATAGGAACTACGTAACTTAGGCCCTGATATTCAGCTCTATCATAATCAATATTTCGTCCGATGTTTTCACGAAACAGGTTCATTTCCAGTCAGGTTTTAATCAACATTGAATTGGACTTCTGATCCAGGATGTCCTTTGACACAGTTGTCGTACGCTCGTTCGGCGAGTTCGTATCTTCGCAGAGGCTGTTGATCAAGTCGTGGGGGGCATTATTCGGCGGTTGCGCTGTAGGCCCTACTAACACGGTAACGAAATCTGCGCAGTTGGCAGATAGGTAGGTATCCAGATGGTCTTGCTCGAATTAGGAAATGTGGCTGTCACTGTTAAATACGGTACAATAGTAGCTCATGTCAAAAACTGATCCTGTTTTGGGAAGTTTCTCTTGCGCAATGTAATGGAAAAGCGACGGACTTGATCTTTTACGTTTAAAAAATGGTTCTGTTTCTGTGTATATCACTATGTTCCTGTACTATAGGTAAGGTTAAGGTAAAACTTGGTACGATTCGTGATTTAATGTATACTCATAAAAGTTTACTCACACTTATTCCGATAACGCTAATTATCAATAGCACGTAACGTTCATTGGAAATGGCGTTCTAAACTACACCTTTGACGCACCCTAACGTAAATCCCATAGGATACACTATTTAAATTTTTGTACCTGCGCATGTTTCAAAGTACTTATACATCGCGCAGGCGATCTTTCTTTGTAGACAGAGGTTAGAAATGCATTTACGCACACTACGATATAGGCATGGTACATTAGATCCTAGAGTAGCCTAGACCTCTTCCGATTGTTGTCCTTGGCCCGCTAAGATCAAACTTACCACTTTATCGCCTTTAAGCTTCAGTCTCTACTGACTCGATTCTGCATTGGTCAATGCTAAGGACTGGCAAAATAAGTAGTAGAATGCGCCTTTGATTAATGAACTGTCGTCACTCTATCCAGGAGTCCTGACACGCTTTTCCCTATACGGTAAGAAAGAAGGCCTTTTTGTGAACTATGTCGGTATAAACCGTTCAAAGCGTCATTATGAGCACGTCCACGTTGCCAATACGAGAAAGGCTTTCAATGCGACTTCTTTCTAGCGTCTCTTTTCCCAACAGTATTTTTCTCACCAAGGCTTTATATTCGCCCGTTTTGATTTCACTTTTTTTTATCGCATGTGTAGCAAACAAAGCCCTTTAAGGCCCTGGTGGTATTTTGCCTATGCAAGGCTCTGTCATGCTCTGAACTTGATCTAAAATGTAAGCAAACACGTTCGGCGGAGCTTTTCATATGCGAAAGGAAATTGTTACAGGCAGTAATGAGCTTGTAAAGAGGACAGAGAGGCCTCTTTCTGATCCCTCCGCCTACTCCTGACTGCTCGGAGTAAGGTCTTTGTCAATAATGCCAAGGAACCTCTTGGACATAGCATTCCATTCAGACCGGTCGAATAAGATCGTCGATGTGAATAATCTGTAAGTAACGAAGCGTTATTACCCATAAACTCATGACAGTTTAAAACAATTAATTGGACGGTTTCGTGTACTACTTACTATTTTGGCAGAGGTAAAATGAAGACTTTCAAGCTCTCAGGAAGTTTTTACAGGAACTTTATATATACATATGCCTTCTTTGAGTCCTGACTCGGTCATTTGCCTGTTTACATTGCCCAACTGTCACATCAAGGGAAACGTAACGCATCTATAATAACTGAGACCTATCGCACACTGTACACGTTGGCCACAAAAAAATATTTAAAAAAATGACAAGGTCCTTAAACACTATGCGTTGCTGTGTCGTTCAATGGAGGAAGTCGCTGAGATGCGGTACATCCAAAATCGCCAGCTGGAAGCACAGGTCGTATGAGAACGCGCTAATCAATCAGGCTTTCTTATCAAACGCTTGTAGAATGTTGATTAATATATCGTAGGTGTTATTGCCACTTTTGTGCTTTTTGCTTTAGATTTTTACCCGGACATAACTGCACAGTTCCGCAATTACCTGTCTGCAGCTAATGAGAACCATTAAATAAAAAGCCTGGACATAACTAAAACTATTTGCCACAAGGACTTACCTGTATCGGTCTTTTTCTAAATAAAATGAAAATTCGCTGTATCATGAAAAAAAAATGATAGCACTTCAGTGATATACACGCAGTATCATTTATGAGATAAATGTCTGTGAAAGACTCGATCAGGTGTCTTCTTCATTTTTGATTACCATACTCAACTTCATAGTCAAGCTAAATTACGGTTCATTTAGGGAGCTCCGCCTATTTAACCTTCTCGAACTAAGGTCACTTGCATCAAAACAACGCAAACAGCCAGTTCTGAGCATGAAACGTACGCTATAATTATTAGCTTTGAAAAATATGGCATGAACGTATTACTATATATTGTAACAGGTTAAACGAAACGTGTTAGCGGCAAAACGATCATTAGACAGTTAACAGTATCGCAGTACGACAATGTTTGAAGTGAAAATACTCACAAAGAGGAACAATACTTCAAACATTTTACTTATTAAATTTTCCTAACAAATTTCTCACAGTTGTGTATTAGGGAGATAACTTAAAATTAAATAAATACTCATATTCGCTTATGAGCTTCTAAAGCAAGCGGAAATGCGCTCTGTATAGTTGAACATTTCGTACAAACAATGTGTCTCATAATGTGGCTGGAAGCAAACTCTTTTATGAACCCTATCCCTGTAAAACATAGGTCGAACGAAATCCCCGAGGCTACTGTTTAATATTATTTCGAAATATCCGCCCATACTAAGACGCCGCAACGACATAATAAGAATGTCGCCGTTGAGGCGTTGCCCTGCAAGTTGGCGTCCATATGAGTGAATACCAGTTAAGGGTATTCATTTGCGTGCATTATCGTGTACAGCACGTTACTACCCAATCTAATTCTGGGAGCATTGGCTTTGCATTTGAGCACGCAAGAGCTCCGCCCTCAATACACATCAATCGAAGGGTCAGCCCTTATGAGTCGCAAAGCATCTCTAATAGTTGCTCTTTTCCAGCACTAATGTCTCTGTAATCGCATTCTGGCTTTGAGTCAAAGGGATCTAACGATAGGTACAACTAACTCGTCATCACCTGAGGACTGCAGCTATTCGTTGCGAAGGAGTCGTCCAGGCAGCCAGCTGGAATTATTTTGGACCAGACTGGTCCTCTTTTGAGCTGTAACTCCCAGTATGAGAAGCCCGTATCGGCGCAATCTGTCATTTTTCCATATGCCTAAACCGATTTTAAGATCTTCGATACTTCAAGAAGTTTGCTTTAAATTCATGGTAGTGCATTGTTTTCTATGTGGAGTTGATCTATGTTGTACTGGCAACGTCCGAACCTTTGCATACGGAAGTCAACTGCGAGTTCTACTGACTATCGCCATTCGAGTTGGAATAGTGTCTATATACACACTGTTTTTGACGACGAAGCTACAGCACGCCTATGCGAACTTTTCTGACAGGCCAGCTACAAGTGATATTTTTGACATTATTTATCTTCTAAACAGCTGTGCCCTCTTCGCAGAAGCAGGTCGAGCTCTCTGGACAAATCAGACCTTTCTCGTCGACTTATTACGTGACCCTCAGAATATTCGCTCTTTTAACATCAAGCGATTCGTTCATTGGTTCATGAGCTGCTGTTTCTACACGTACATTGACATCTCTCAAGCTGTAAGACACGAACAATTGACGAAAGAGCTTGAAAGCAAGTTGTTGATGAAGCATCGCATGGTGAGCTGGTGCGGTAGTTACGTGTGGCAATTGCAGTATGCCGTATTCCATCTCTATATTCAAGGAGCAATAATCATTCGTGCCAATCTTCGAGGGCTAGACGTGTCCATGGACATGCTATCGCTGTCGAAAGTGCTCGAAATGAAAATGGCGGTTCGCCGTTCAGTAGATCACTTTAATCGGACATTCAGTCGGGTATTGGTGTTGATATATGCGAAGATCTTTGCCCTGGCTTATCAAGGCCTTATGATCGGCCTTCGAGTTAATGAGTTGTCTAACGTTGAAACCATGATTGCGATAATCCCATTTCTTCAGATTGTCATGCTATATGATATGGCTGTTATTGGTACAGACGTTATCTCCAGTTGCCATCTACTACATCAAAAGTTATTTCTCAAGCATAAATTCACATCAAATCACCATGAGCTCTGGAGAGTCGGCACGCTGTTGATGTATGATGAGCGAATTGACGCCCTGCTGATTTCTGATTGTTTCCCTAACCAAAAAGGAACCTTGCTTACCTATTCAGGTACACTTATTACCTGTCTTGCAATTTTTCTGCAATTTGATTATCGCGTCATGGCAAGATTTGACGAAGATAAACGGACATTTAACTTAACACGATCGTGGTAAAGGCGAACTAGTAAATAGAAGCTTTTTAAAGACGATAAGTAACCTAGTAGCGGGCTGATCGATGCAGCAACAGGCCTAGACATCATAGATAAGTAAAAGGCAAAATACGGAACATATATGTGATGTGAAAGTTCAGTTTACTTCCTGTCGGAGTTTATTTACCTGATGAATATAAGTCTTACGCAGAAGAAACTTCATTTCTAACCAACAACTTGAAACAATGCTTAAAGCTCCAAACACATAGTAGACATAATTTGTTTCTTTACATCTACAAAGAGTAATTTTATATAAGTGACGTATTCTTGTCTGGTTAATCCTGTAATGTTCGAATAAGCCGCTGCAATTTAACTTAGAACTTGAACTTTAACATTCTATCGCCATTTCATGTAGCCATCTCATCCGATGAAAACAAAGTAAATACTCGAATCGAATTGGTATTTCATTAAAAGCTTTTATTTGTTCGTTTTCTTAAATGCGTTTCATCTTCTATCGTGTCGGGAAAAAACCAAGTGCGTAAAGGGAGTGAGGCTACCGTCAGCCTCCTTCGAGACCAACCACCTCGCTAATAAAGCGTTGACTCACGATTTATTTACTACGAGTTAAGTGGTCTTTAAATAATATATAGATAGAACCGTGGATGTTACTCTTTCCTTGTTGTCGAAATCGTGCCTACGAAAAACACCTACTACTAATGAACGGATGCTAAAATAGATTTTTAGTGATCTAAGAATAAGTTAGCCTCGTCCGTCACCCTGTTTCCAAGGCCTAAAAGTAAGAGATCGTAGGCCTTGCTGTTACCATTGTTGTTTTTTTTTATCCGTAATGCCATATTATGCTAACGCAATAGAATAATAATTATCAATCGACATTAAATGTTTCCTGTCATCGTCTTCAAGCATTCTACATACGTCCTCTACAAGCGTCGTTTTGCTACATGTAACTTCAGCAGGATCTTATTTTTTGTATCGTATATAATATCACCGTACAAACACATTACAACACGAGTATTATCCACGTGTATGAATTCGTTGTTAGATATTCTCTCTCTCTTTTTTTATTCATTTACTGTTTCTTGCCTAGGTATCATGTGCTCTTCTTCTGTTTGTCCGTATAGTTTCTGGCAGATTTGATGAGAGTTATCACACGCTTATGAGGACTTAAAGCTCCTACTAAACTCCGACACCTTCCGGGACAGCATAGATATAGCCCTGCTTCTAACAGCTTTTTCTGTTTATAATAGTGGGAACATCACGAAGAACTAATACGAACCTAAGGAACCAGCTGACCTGAACCAATTACGATCACGGCTCGCTGTTTCACGCACGTAATCACATAGCCGCTAACGTCGGTCATATTTATGTCAGCGGTATTATAACATCTTCCCACAGAAGGAAGGATGACACCGCAAAAGGTTTTACGTACCATTACTGAGAGCTGAACGTGGGCATAAAACTCATATCCATGCTAACTTAAGTTATTGTTGCACACGTACAAAGATCAATGAGCGAGTATGCTTCATACAGAATCGTTAATCTATCGACTTTATCTTCACAAGGTTTAATTCTATAATACGGCATATAGATCACAATAATCTCTCCACTGAATACGTCTGTCGTTAACACCTGTAACTTTTTATGAGTGGGTCGCTAAAGGTATAGATTTAATAAATTATTATAAAATAATATTATAACGTTAGTAATTATATTCTTCATTAAATAGCCGAAACGTCCCCGTCTAGTCAATATAAGACGGTCGGCGTTACTGCTGTTACTATGCCTTCAATTTTCTGCTGCCGAATTATTCTGTACATTACATTTTCATGTTATATTATTATTGTTACTATCAGTTAATCTGAGCACACGACCTCACATTAGGTGCTCAATCAATGGAGTATTTATTCTTTATTACTATACACTTGGGATTTCCAACCAGTGGGTCTCATGAGGTTTGCGAACATCACCGTTTAGTGTTTGCTTTCGCTTCCACCGCTGCCTCTTCATGAACTCATTGTCCCGGACATGTTTGATATCGTATATTTGCGCGTCCGAATGAGGTGTAATATATATATATATATATATATATATATATATATATATATATGATTAGTTGTTGTATATATCCTTCATTTGTAAATACCCTTAAATTGCAAGAGCCTAGTATGGTAAATTTGTTTTTTTTGCTGTACGCCCGACTGACAATCTCAACCCTTTCCTTGGGCATCCAGCCGTCGTATAGAACTTAAATAATACCTGTGCAAGGCTGCGTTCCCGTCCTCCCCGAAACTACTTTTTTTTACACAATTTTCACACAGGACACTCTTTCTTCTGCTGGCACTGTTGTTTATCATCTATTAACCCTTGCTGCTGGATCGGGTCAGGGCGCTCATCATAATCACGCGTGATGGTGCACTCGCCGTAGAGTCGTTCTATCATTCCAATTACCTGATCCTGAATAAAATCAACGTCTTCACGTGGACAGTAATCATCGGTACTGCTCCGTGAGATCGTGACAACCTTCGGCTTCTCTGGTTGCAATTTACCTAGAAATGATTCCATTGCTTTTATCATTCGCGACACCTCTTCTTTCGAACTGACATGGTGAGGCAGCATCGATCGGAGATCCATCGTACAGCCAGCATCGTGAATTAGTTCTGGCGTGATCACATAGTCTTTTGGTGGGTTGTCATCGAGGTCTTTAATGAGTTCAGCAACAAGCTTCTCTTGCTCAGAGTCAGCCTCGACGTCATGCTCTTCCAGGTGCGAATTATGCAGATTTGCTCCAATGATCATCTGCAGGTCGTCAAGCTGGTCCCGTCGTTTCTGCGAAAGCTCTTTAAGTCGTTCGGCCGTCACTCCTTGCGGCAGCTCGGGGAAGTCGTAGAGCTTACGCATAATCTGTAACTGTTTCGGAGAGAAGATTGCTTCAAATGGATTTTTTGTCGAAAAGTAATCGAGGTCGATGTCGAGTATCCACGACAAACTCCAGTCTTCTTGTCCGGGTTCGTCTCCAGCGCCGTCGCACGGCTTCTCGATTTTTCGCATATCAACATCCTCCATTCTGGAGACGTACAACATGCAGTCCTTTGTATTGCATAGTGATTCTTCTGGCGCCCACAGGCACTCCGAGACGAAATACTCTTCGGGCAGGGTAACTTTCACTTCGTTAAAATCTTTCCCGACCCGAAAATGGTAAAGGCCATCGCGGATCTGGTTTGCCCATGGTGGGCGCACCCATATAACATCTCTCACATGTCCTGCATAGACAAGAGGTAAAATCCAGCTTTCAATGTTGACATTATCGTAGACATACTCCTTTTCGAAGATGCGATCCGGATCGAACGGTCGTGGGAAGCAAAGGTCGGGGTGCGAGTCGAAGTGTATCATGGTGTTGGCTTCAAAACGAAGCTTCTTTCGAGCGATCTGTCGGTGAATATGTTGTACAGCATGGTGATGATACTCGACTACGTATACAGGCAAACAGCGAGAATTACGTGCTGGTGTGGTGCCAGCCGCTGAATAGATTTGGTGGTCGACAGGAGTGTCCGCTGACGTAGATGAAGCTGCTAGCTGGACCACATCAAGATCGTCAATCAGCTCGCAGTCACTCATCTTTAGCCAGTAGCGGTCGCAGTAGTGAAGTTAATCTGAAAAATTGTGCCACGTAAAGCAGATCACAAACAAAAAAACACTTTTTAATATAATCGCAAACACGCACACAAGTATAATTGAGATAAGTAAACGACTATAGAGATATAATCATGCTTCAGGTGAATCCAGGAAATAAAAATAGATAATAGCTTTCCTTTTTTCTCACACATTACAGCGCACCTATGCATCGTTCGCGGGACTCGAAGCAGATATATATATATATATATATCATATCTATTGCGTAGCATAAGTCATTGTCGGAGTTTAAAACAGTAACTCTTAACGATAATTTCAGCCTTTGCCGCTTTGCTTTTATTTGCTATAGTCTGACGCATTATTTATTGCCCCGGTAAGTCATGGTAAAAATATCGAAAATGTCGATATCTTTATTGAAAATATGCAAAAAAAAAGCTCAAAACGTTTTAGCTGATCATATTCTGTTTTTGCGTATGAGCGAGGTAGGTGTCGATCTACACACATTTCGTTTTAAGCATTGGCTCTGTTATCTTCGAAACAGCCTATAAAGCCCATAAAATCGACAAATCGCACAAGAATTCGTTAAGGCTGCTGGAAATAGGACTCACCTGAATCCTACAAACTTAATTCAAACTGACAACGCATGCTTCCGGATGCATGAAGGCCTATCACTTGATTTTTGGTAATTTTTCTACGTACGCTTTATTGTTCATTACAGAATCGAACGCCATCTACAGAAAGATCTATACAATGTAACAACATACAATTAAGCGAGATTAAAAAGTATATACACGATTTACTTCCACGAAAAATATCCAACCGCCTGACCTTTTTACACTCAGCAGGAATTGGCCAACGCATATAGTACTTTCAGCCACTACGACCTCTCAACTACGTGCCATTACACATACATCTTATATTTCGCATGCATGCCTCGTGTGACATATTTGACCGGATCGTGCGATATAGGACGTCCTATGCCATTAGCTTTGGAAATAGACGGTAGCAGCAAACATATGAGATGACTGCGGCCGGTTATATAGTATGCATGCATGCATGCATGCACGCACGCACGCACGCACGAACGAAGATAGGCTTGTTTACCAAGTTCTTCTTTGCTAGCAATAGTAAAACCCGTGGGGCCGCGATTACCGATATTTCGACGCTGTCAACTAATCTTTGGCTGCGGTAGCGTGTTCGTTTGGTGCTAATCACCAATAGGTTACACTGAAGCGAATCAACCTTTTAGCCTTGACATTGAGCATCGCGGAGGTGACCTCTCTTTTTCAGGCCAGAGCTGCTGCAATACGAAAGCAACTTCGGTGTAGTTGAAGACATTAGCTAGCTATGCGTCTGTTGCTAGTACGTACGGGTAAGTGCAATGTTAGTACTCACACATGTGTGAGCTGGGCTACCTGAAGACACGGGTAGACGGGAAGAGAAAGCATCGCAAATCACTACCATTAGACTGACCACAGGCCAGTCACGGGTCGGCTCAAAACAAACGCTGCATAAAACGATAACTCCGCAAAAATATCTACGCTTTAGGAACGTAGAGCGGGCCGCCGGGGCAGCTCGAACACCTCCTGGCAAAATAATGCGATGAGTGGCACATTAACAGCGGGCAGAAATGCCAATACGAGGAACACATGCAGCACATAGAATCAGCATATATTTAATTATTAGTGAACAAATAGTATTAAACTTCAAGAATACATATCACGAAGGAGTTGACAGTAAGTAACTTTCGGCCATATCTCATTTTAAAAACAATCAGTTGTTATGACATACATTCACGACGAACTGCTATACAATACACACGATATTCAGTCTTGTCGTACATATGAAACTGCATAAACTCTTTATGTATATTACTCTGATCTTCATCGATCCCCTGTCAACTATTGCAGGTCATGTTGTTTCGCCATAACATGCGTCGTTTGTTCTTCATATTATAGACATGCTCATTATTACTGAGAAATAGTATTGATTTGTTTCTAGTTACCTGTTCTTTACGTGTTTAGTTATTTTGATTAATCTACGCTAGAATTACTCTAATATATACTATGTTTTACCTCTTGAAAAGATAATTTAGCTTTGTATAGATAAGATCATTTTTTATTAGATGGACTGAGATATTTTACGGTTATCGCCTATTGTCAAGGAGCGGTTTTGTACGAACGTGCAAATGATTCGAACCTGCCTTTCACGCAGACTTGAAACGTGCGCATCGTGCAATTTGAAAACTGGCTTATATGAAGACGCTATAAGCTGATTCTTTTCCTACCAGTTTCCTTTTTTGATTACAAAAATGCCTGATTGATGTCGAGTGTAGGGACAATTTAGCAGGTTCTTTGAACATTTTGACGCAGGGCTCGTCGGAAGCATCTGTTTAAGGTCGTAGAGCATCCCCATTAACTTAGCGTTGCCGTACTTACCGGTGTCCTCTGATCGGTGCGATGTATCTAGCTCAAAATCAGCCGTAATTCAGCGAATTATGCTGTCATAAGAAGTTTCTTCGTCTCATTCCTTAGCGATGCAATGGTCTCTTTCTTTTCTCTGGCCGCTACCGCTATGAAAAATACATACAGTTACAATGTAACCGAACTTCTCGACACCTCGTACTAGAACGTCAGCACCGTTCCTTTGGCCGATCAAGATGATCGGAAATTTACCAACCACCTAACGAAGTCTCAAAAATTTTCGACGCTTATCAAATCCGTTTATAATGTGTACGATCTGCACGACGCGACCTGTGGGTTTGCGCCAATATAAACCACTGCAGGGTTACAGGGATACACTTTTGGCAAGCGCTCAACATCTGGTGACGTGATTGCGGTAAATATTGTTGTGCGCTTACACTTCAGGAAACAAGGTTTGATCTCCCTCAGCATAAGCAGTGCCTGCCTTGGGTTTGTGACAAGCACTAAACTTCATGTCAGTCGTTCGATCGGCTTCATCAGGAGCATTGTTGGCAAAAGCAGACATTGATTTTCCCGAACGTCCTCTGTGTAACTGTGACGATCTCGTAATCCCAAAAAAATATTCTTCCATGGAATGATCTTCAAATAAAGCTACTGCCATATGCATTTTTTACCAAATGTGGTCGTTCCTTTTTCGATCTGATAAACGAGCTCATCAGTGGATCGATGATGATGATGCTACATAGGATCTAGTCGGCTGTCTCAACAATACCTTGCTGTAACAGAAGTGAAACCCAACATAACGGCGGCAGCGAATCGTCATGCGTTTTTTCCAAACCCATCCCAACTGCGCTTATAATAATCAAGCTTTATGAACCAATCATTGCATCGAAGTTTCCTTGTTGTATCCATATTAATCGAGAGTAGTTATGACCTTAAACGGAACATTCCGTTCGCTGCACCGTGATGGACTCAGGATGTTGTCGTTTTTAATTGAAACAGGTTTGCTGTTAAAAAAGGTTTGCTAATCTGGTACTGGTTGAGTTCTTTCTGAGTCAAGGGATTACCATCAGAGTTCCAGATTGCTAAATTTTACCGAAGAGACAGGTCTTTACTGGTCTTCTTCCTCCAGAGATTCACGGCAAATTGTCCCGCTTTTCTGTTACCACATCCAAATAGTCAAGTAATATGTCCTTTCCTTTACGCTTAAGGTTATTATGGTCAATTAACATATTTTCTAGAGCATCCCAATAGAACACACTTCCTATCATTATATTTACCGATTCGTCTTTTCCACGGAGCTATATCTAGGCAGCGTTCCTTTATAGTCCCGACCACCCTAATCGGATTTCTGTTCCGATCTCGGCTTATCGAGTTCCTCTTCAACCTGAAGTCTCTTGGAGCGCCTTAGCTTCAGTTCAATTGTATAGTCAGGACTTCAGGAAGGACCGTCTACCTTATTGATGCTCTCACTTTGCAGCTTTAGCTGTCCTTTATGAGAAGTCCTTTCCTTTGGCAAGCAGCTCCTTAAGTATAGTGGATAACTTTTTCGTTTCTATTCTTCGAATAGGTCTTATGCCAGACGCTGCAATTGGACTGACCTGGTTCGTTATTTTCAATGATTATAACCTTTTCCGGGTCATTCCTTAATTACTTTTTCAAACGTCTATTTTAAGGCTGACATTTTGATCTGCTTCGCGCTGCCACTGATCTATCTACGTTTTGATTAATGTTACCTAGCGTCACGTGCAGATCTCTTTCCAATTTTAACTAACAGTTTGTTCGATTTTCTTCCCTACCATTCAGCGGGTCTCAGCTACCCTTGGCCATTTCGCTGGTCCTCTGATCGTTTGTTCTTTTGACTTGAAGGTCTTTAACGAGACGCATATGAAGGCCAAATATCTCCATTAGATGAATACTTCAGCCTTATAACTTCCTTATAAATCACCTCAATAGCGCCTATGCTGTCCTAATCAAATAACTCGACAACCCATGGAACAGTGCGTTCGGTGCATATCCGCAAGTCTAAAATATGATTTTCCCGAGAAACAGTGGAAGTGCATTCTGGAAACATAGGTCCCTAACCAAACCATTCTAAGTCGTAACCATCCTAACCAAACTAAGTTCCTCGTCAACTATAGTATTATAGTAAAGTCAGAAATAAATTGTTAAGTTTATTTGTAAATAACCCGACGTTGTTGGTATGTTTTTCACACTGTGAACAATATTTGTCTGAAGAGACAATACAGGATAACCATAAATGGTCCTAGAGCATCGGTTGAATAAGGTTCAGTGTCAGATTCATATACAAATCGTGTTTACTAAGTCTGTCACCTCAACACCGAATTAATTCAAGGTTGCAATCCATGCGCTGCACATTATGTTACAATAAATTAAAAGACACACACTAAGCTTTATAAGCATACTTATAATAAATGTTTTGAATTTCACGTCCGGTACTACCGTTAAGCGATAAAGTGTCCACGTCTAGATTCGAACCCAGATCATTTCACGTGTCCCTGAGATCAGTATGCAGGCCTGTCATCATTGGACCATCGCAGAGACTCGTACTGCGCTGCAGACAAATGAATTTAAAAGCCGTTTTTTTATGAACAGCCGGATTGTCATCTGTGAGGTCGCTCAGAGATCATATTGACTTCTGTCTTAATATCGTCGACACTGATTCTTGTTGTCCAACTCACCTCCTCGTTACTGCTAAATGTATCCGGTGTCTCCGTGATGGCGGCAGAGTCTCAGACGCAACGCTTTGAAAATGCTGCAGTTAAAGGTGTTGAACACTTTTGATAATAGAAGAGGATACGCTTCCTTTGGACACTCACAGTCTCGTAAGACGTCCACGACAGAATCGTATTCTCGATTATTGTACCACGTCCTTATGTCACTAAGAATATGACTCGTTTCAGCTAACACCGTGGCTGTTGCTCCTGCGCTGCTGTGAGTTCTCTATAGGCAGGGGTGCACTGTATCAGCGAAGTCCTACTACAGGCCAGACTTATTCATTCAACAACATTGGCCGGGAAGGGAAGCCAGGAAGGTAGGCGCTGGCTGTCACAGAACCCAAGCATCGCTCAGCCGCTTCACCGTTCTATGTTGATTGACGCTCGTCGTATAGATGATGCCAATGATCTATGTTGGGCGTAACGCTTGCCGCATTGCTCTCTCAATGAGCTACGATAGAGGGGCATGCCCTTCGAGGAGGACAAGCAATGTTGTTATTTAGTAGGAGGAAACAGAGAGGCCCGAAGTATTATAAATTCAGTGAAGGAAAGGACATTGGCTAATGGATTATACCAGACGTAGAGAGAAAGGGCTTAGAAAGCCACAAGCCGCCCCAAAAGGCTTGTTATTATAGTAATATAATTTGTCGAAAACTGTTGTAACATGTGCATATACACTGTCAGTCTTGGAAATGAATAATTGTACTTTTACTGTAACAAAACCAAGCTAATGTATTCATTGTGGTAATAGCTAAGTTCGTAAGTGAATATGTTGAACGTTCATTAGCTAAACTTAGCAGATTGAGACAGGGATCAATAAATTCATCAACGTTTATTCGATATTTTGCCATTAGAAGGAATAGATGTTTTAGGTGGGAAAAGTGGTTCATTCAATGTCATTGGCGCTCATTTATGTTGGAATTGCGGAAATACGGGGAGACATCAGACAAACTTGAGATATTTCCGAGCGTGGCAGGTTAGCAAAGAAATAAGAACAGGAAAAACATACAGAAGGCATATAAATATGCATTGATATAACAGCGACGATGTTTGAGACTGATTTCGATAGTTTTGTTTATTCAACTAAAAACAAGAAAAAATGCCCTTCTTGGTGGCCTTCTTGCTTATTTGTTTATGGCTGTTCTGTCAAAGGACAGCATGCAATGAGGCGTTCAACAAAAACGTCGACGAAAAAGGTCAGACTAAACTAACAATAAACATAGCGTATAATATGACATGATCACACGCGTGCCGTGATTTAATAAATTAACTCAAATTCTCAGCAAATTATGGACGGCACCTATCAAGTTGAAGTGCTGCTAGAATAATGATGAAACGGAAGTTTTCATAGGTTTAAGGAAAGTTTTGCTATATTGTAAGTCTGCATTCAATGTGCGTACAGGTAAAAAGCGGAGGTAAGTGGAATGAAGTTTTGAGAAAGTACCGATATAACTTCAGGTCTTTTTCGAATGTGCAGTGATGGCTATCAGTTGTAAGTTATTTGCGCTAGAACTGCAACTATATATATGTAGTAGTAAATTTTAAGAAGCAGACATTCATAACAAAATGTGACATGACTAATCCCTCGTGGTAGTCAGCGTTTGTCTAGCTACACACAAACAGAAGCTATAAAAAGATACAGCACGTGTTTAGTACAGGGAATGTGTTACAATGGCATGGTGCGTTTGTTACGTTATTTTTAGTTCGACTCGGTGTATGCACGGATATCGGTTCCAAAATCGAATGTCTCCCACGTTCGTTTATCTTTGAAGCTTGTCAAGGGCCTGAACAATGCTCTTGGGCTGCGGGTACCATGATTTGTGTTGACGGCCAGTGCCAATGCAGAGACGGACTTCGGTAAGGGCTACGTGACCTTAATGTGTTTATCATCAGATATTATATAGGCAGTTTAGTTGGCAACATGATAGAAAATAATAAATATTTACGGTAACGATTTGACCTGATTGATCGTTCCCTAAATCCCTTATTTTTGTTTCGTTTGTCTTTGTCTCAATCAGGTTAACTTCGGATCGTATATGTACGGTTCATGAACTGTCCGGCCCCGTGCGCCCGTTGGTGTTTAGCTCATTGGCCGTTATATTATTTACTTACGTTATAATTGTGCTCAATATATTGCTTGATATTGAAGAGCGTCGAAAATTCGCATCCTTGCCTTCTCCAACAGTAATCGTCAATGACCAGTTCGACAATAGGAAATTTAAAAAGTTCAATGATCAACTGGATGAAGCATTGGACAGCTCATTGAACAGCGTACCATCGGAAGAGATTCACGAACATCGAAACAAAAGCAGAAGTACGAAATCAGTAACGCTCCATCAAAACGAAGCAATTCCCAAAACGAAGAGCAAGCCAAGTGGCCAAATAGCTAAGATTCGAAGATCGACAAAACCTTCCATAAAGCAAACTCGAGGCTGTTTGTTTCTTTCGGATCATATCTACGAAGGAATAAGGCTTCAACCACTTCCAATTGAGCTTAGCACTAATAACGGCAATAATGAAGTCCATGACTCTGTCACACCGCTAAGAACAAGGCAGATTGCATACAGGACACTAGTCAAACTGTGCACGGAGCGTCTTGTTAAAAAGATGGCAGACATGTACTTCCTCCAGTGCGAGGCCAAAGCTGGCGGTGACGATCGATACGAGCCCACCGCTTCGTTTCTAGTAAACGATCCCGTTTATGGAACGGATATTCTGTCATGTGATGATGTGCATTTTTCGTTTCGTAGAATGAAGTCAATTATAACGTCTCTTTTGACTGAAAAAATACATATTTCTATTTCTGGGTTAGACATGGCTAATATGACCAAGGTAGCGGAGGCTCGTTTGATGTAGAAAAAACTTAAAATCGCCCACAAGACCTGCATCGGACAAAGGACAGGGTTCTGCAAGCTTCCTATATTGGAGAATTTTCAAAGTTTAGATAACAGTTTGACTGGAATAATTATCGTTATGCGTTGAATGCTTAATGGTATAAGCAAGGAAGAAACACATTCTGTTGCTTCAAAAATGCAATTGCACATTCACATAAACCTTTGACCCCTTTAATGACTCAAATAAAAACAGCTTAACAGCCGACAGTGATCTCTTTATATCAGTCCTAGTGCCGACGCTAAAGAACAAACTCCGACAATAGCATTTTTAATATATCAAGTAAGTAACCACAATTTGTAATTTCTCAATACTTGTATGTTTATTTTTCAAGTTTAGCTCTCTCGCTTTCTTACTGTTTGTTACTTAGTCTCCTGAATCCTGTACTCTACAGTCGACCTTCCCATTCCAACTCTTCATCCATATCATCATCTTCGACATTCTCCTCCTATATAAGTTATATACACAATCCTAAGACCTGCCTTTTTTTGTGTCGTATCTTTGTCCGTATATATATATATATATATATATATATATATATATATATATATATAGTCTTTGAGCAAAAATAGTTATGTCTAAGTGCGAAAAATTTGATTTTTTTTTTAATATTTTGCAGTTCCATATCGATTGACACTCCTTTTGCTGGTAATCTTTTTACTTGATTGCTTAGTTGGTGTTGTTTGTTGGCACGCTGCGATCCTCAACAGTAGTAGCTATTCTATGGACTAATTTACCAGCTCCCATAATTTACTTGTATGCGAATGTTATCTATATGTATAGCATAAGGTATCAGTTTTTGCCATCTCTGCCGCTAGTAGGCATGTTCTCCGCATTCATATGTTGTTTCTATTTCATTTCATCTTTTACAAATAGTCCGTTTTCCATATTAATTGTGTTACTGATACAGAGCAATGTGACCAAATTGCTTTAAGAAGGACAATTGTAGCTTATTCCTATCTTGTCTCCCGTGTTTCCAGGGCTCATTATCTAATCACCTATCGCTAATAATTGATTATGATCTTTGCATACATCAAAGGTTACGCGTATATAGATATCTATATTGTCGTCTATAAACAGTGTTTATTCGAAGTCTAAAACGAATTATGTGTCATGGGCCTACTCGTGGCTAGGTTATATAAAATAATTATACGATCATTATTTTAAAACAGAAAATAAAGCGTAATATATTTTTAGTACGTTTCTCTTTGTTCATTTTTACATAAACGCATAAGCAACGAGGTCGCTGTGCAAGCCTAGTATATTACGAAACATTATTATAATGTAAGGGTTTAGCTGTTTCCACTGGCTGATACTGATACATGTCTAATAATTACCATAAATATTGTAGTATTTTCAAAATCATATTTGTCCTATTCATTTCGATTCATCATTTTCTGCAATATTCCGTCTGCGAGTGTGTGTATCCAAATTGTATATTGTGAAGGAACCAGGTCGCCAATAGGCGTCTGACCGAGTTGCCGGCCAATCGAAAGACTTATGATATCGTCGGGATATCATCAGTTTCGGGATTCATGACTTTTATTTCGAGCCGCTACAGTATGAAATAGAACGCCAGGTATATTTGTTCTGTAGTTTTTCTATACCATCGGTTTCTGTTCCTCGCTGTATTTTGCAAAGAATGGTACGGTAGACGCGGTTCCTCGAATTTTTCGAAGTAACTTTTTTTTAATTTGTCCCCTAATTGATTCAAGTCTAGCAAGTTCATATACATCTGGTTATAAATTCCGTTTATTTCTTTTTGCTATTATATATCTATATCAGCATCTGTCTTACTTTTTTTTTGCACATCCCCATCGCTTCCATACGGGTGCACATCTGTTCTGTTTCGAACAAAGATGCGTTATTACACTTGAACATCCAATAATAATAATTATTATTATTATTGTAGTAATAATAGCAGTCATAGATTTGTCCCCTAAGTATTTATGTTCGGTTCACACAGACCACATATTCGATTTATATATTTAGACAAAGTTTCTCATTCTTTCTAAATAAATCTTTCACCCGTATCGTTAAAGCAATTGACTACCATTTTCTACAATTATCATATATAGATATAAATGTATATGTTGGTATGTTTATCCCATGTAGTAAATATTTATCTACATGATACTTTTTCCACTATATTCCTCATACTTAGCTTCTCCGCTGATAATAATCATGTTCGTATTGCTTATATTCCACATTTGCCCCAGCATATCTGTCTGCATAAAAAAAAATCTTTGTTTCGTTCATTTATTAAACCTAACTTCCTAGAACGCGATCCCACAATATTGATAGTTTTCCTGTTGTCTAATAATCTATGGAAACAGCTTTGCCGATAGACACTTTGGCGCTGTTAACCTGTAAAAACTGTCGTAGCGGTAAAAATTAGCGCTAGGTGATAATTCTAAAGCCACATGTAAGAATGAAGCTTTTGTTGCTTGCGAAGGCTCAAAATAGTAGAGATTCAAGCTGTGTGCGATATTCAAAACATTGCTCTACCAGATGGGTCGTTTCGAGCTAAGTAAAGATTAAGACAAACATCTTAAGAGGCTTCAGATTTCTCTTACATTTCTATAAACCACAAGCCAGAAAAGTTCATTGGGAAAAATCGAGCTAAAAAATCGTGAGTTGAAAAATCGTCGGCCAACTTAGCCAGTATAGTAGACATTCTAGTCCTGTGCGTACTTAAGACTTTGTGGTTTATAGAATCGTGGCAAAAAAATAAAAGGGTATTGTCAATTATTTTGGTTTATGAACACCTCATACATCGGGCACATATACTCTCAATTAAAGAAACAAAAGACCAACATATAATATGTGCGATAACTCACACTAATCAAATGAAATTCTGTGTTGACCATACGCTCGTCAAGTGTGTCCTTAATTTGATTTAGTAATTTCTAATTTTATTTGGATCAGTAGCCCTTGTGTATCTGCCTAGCATTTAAATTAATTATATGGGCTTAATTAATTCGTGCGACCTTCGTCGATGGTTTCTATTCATTAGGCCCAGTGAATCAGCTGGCGAACCCTCGCCCAACGGCTAATAGGTTGAACCAGGCGATATGTGGCTTCCTAAGGTCGAGTTTGTCAAGAACAATGTACGCACTGCCAAGCATTTCATTACCCTGCACTCGATCGTGGTCCCAGACCGACACCTCCAGTACTAAGGTCCGGAGGGTTTCATAGGGATATCGATACGAAACGAGCTCCATAAACGTGGGATGTTTACAGCGGCTAACTATACGAGTTTTGCGTTTAGTCTGTTTATCCGGGTCGGGTTTCAGATACGTCTTTACGTATGCATCTGGGGCAGTTTTGCGCTCGCAGCGCAGATTTTCGGCATGCATTACCATAATGGACAAGCGCTGATTGGCGAAAGTCAAATCCAGCTTAATTCGACCCGCGCTACCGGGCTCGTAATGTCCACTCGGCCCGGCCATTTGCAGCTCGTTGGTAAGCCGGTGCTCCTCCTTCAAGCCATCGTGGTCCCGATACAATGGGTGGAAGAATGTGTACACCAAATCACAGTGAGCAACCTCTTCCGCCATGTTCTGTAGTTCTCGAAGGAAATTGACTAGCTCAGTCTTACGTTTCTCGGCTACGTCGGCCGTATTTGTACGGCCGATCAACGAGCTTTTTGTTAGGGGCGGAAATGGAGCATTAGGAAATAGCTTGCTGAGTTTATAGTGAAACTCAAGAAACTCATCGTACGTCCGATGGACTTTTGTGTCCACCGATTCTTTGTCACGACGAAGGCGAATTACGTAGACGTAATGCTTTTCCGGAATGTGTTTCTTTTGGCAACCGATAATCTGGTAGTAAAGCAGACGTCCATCCGTCTTTTTCGTGTGAATCTTCGGGGCGAAGTTTAGCGTCAACGTATCGTTATGGTCGCCAGTGAAACGCATTTGGGCGATGTTATGAATAAAGAAGTTCATTTGTGTCGACATCGAACTCGACGCTTCGCGCACTAGCTGCGTGAAGGCGACAGATGCTTCAGCATGACTTTTCCCTAGCATAAGAGCTTTCTGTACGAATTGGACGGCGTCTTCATTGAGGCCGGGAATGCCTGAAGATACCATAAGACCAAATAGTGTAATAAGGACATTGCTACTTGCTCGAAGTATGTTGAATGCCTCGCAACATTTCTCAACGAAGATCTGGAACTTCTTCGAAGGCTTGTCTCCACCATTGATCACATACACCATGTCGCTTGTTAAGACAAAAGGAACTCGGTCCCGTTTGATACTGCCAAACATCTGCGAATCCCCAAGAAACTTGCCGAAGTCAATATGGAACATATGTCCCGATGGCCTTAGCATGATGTTGTCATTGTGCCGATCACATATACCCAATACGTATGTTGCAACACAATAACCGGCACAGCTGAGGCTGAAATTCTCTACTGCACGTTCATATTCGGCCTCGCTACCGTTGTGTTTCTTCAGCCATTCGGCGATTGGCTTGTCTTTGAACGAACCGGTAAGACCGTGTTCGGTCTGGATCTTGCGGAGGGTTTCCGCTTCACGCACAACTTCCACCATTCCTTCGTCCTTACCGGTGGCCACGCACTCAAACGTGATGATTCGAAGGTCTAGTCCCTGTTTGAGCCACAGCTTATCCATGATGCGGATCATCTGTAGAACCAACATGTCCTGACGGAGGTCATCACCCACTTTGAAAATTACCTCGTGCGATTCGGCCAATGGTTCAATGTTTTTAAACGTCACCTTTAACGGTAGCGTGTTCGAGGTAAAATACGAACAGTTCTTGACGTCAATTCCCGCTACTTCGAGGCAAGGGTTCAGTGGAAGACATAGAGGTCCATTTTGTTCAAGTTCATCATTTATGACGCGCATACTGTTCATGAGACAGCTGATACGGTCATTCTCTCGGGTACGCTTGAGCGCATCGGCCGACGTGCGTAAACCCCGTAAAAGCTTGTCTTGGGCTGTTATAAGACCTGAAAACGCTCCGCCAGAGATAATTCGCAAAGCACTCATCATCAGACGAACTCGCCGTCGGCTAAGCACGTTAGCTTCATTTTGACGCAGTAGCCAGTACATTTGGTGAGCGACTCGTGTTGATGTCAAGGCCCTTTCCAGCAAGAACCATGTAACCGGAGAGTCCTCCCACGCCTCGAAGCGTAAGGCCTGGACAAGTTGCGGCAAATGGTCACACAGCTCATCCGAGCCCACGTACTTTATCCAGCTAACGGCAACTCGTCGAACCTCGCTGTCGGGAAACTGTGGTAACAGCAGAGTCAGCGCCGATATATATGACGCCGGTTTCCATTCACGTAAAGTTGCGTAAATGTCTTTGAGATATATCCAACACCATGTGTCGCGAGACAGCAGCACTTTTGGTAGAAGTTGGGGCAACTTTCGGACGAACAAGCGACGGTCCCAAAAGAATTTCTTGTCTACTTCTGACGTGAGCAAACTGCAGAGTGGGTCGCAATCGAGCATTTCGCGTAGTCGTTGTTCCTCTTCTGGGTCTAAGTCAACTTCTACCTTCGGTACTTTCTCGTGACACACCTGTACACACAATTCAAGTTTAATAATAGCAAAACAACAAAAAAAGCCAGCATTACTATATATTAACATGTATGTTATGATAATGATATGATTGTAGTATCATTACGGTTCGGACTGGGGATATATTTAGTTGCACACAAATAAGTTAACTTCGAAGAGAAATAAGTTGGATATCATGTTAGTTTCATAATTATTTTCAGAGATAAACGCAAACAACAATTTACTTACTTTAGGAAAGAAAACAATATTATCAAACTCTGTAAATTGCATAAGCATCAGGGGCGCCGATGGTGAGTCACTGCAGCAGGGCGGTCCACTCATTTCGTCAACGTCAGCTCCCCATAAGGGGCACAATTTGATTCCTTGTACTAGTTCTCTTTTCGATGAGAACAGATTCAACGCAAACCAGCCCAATGCTACGCGCTGGCTGGGATCTTCTTTATTAAGTCCAAATAGTTTGACATAAAGTGCCGATTCCCTCGGCAAAAGTCGCATCGGAACTGCCAGCTCAAGCCAGTCCTCGAAATCGATTTTTTTGAAGAGGCCTTGACCCACGCGGCCATTCTGCGATTCTACCTGTTTTGGCAGCGAATAAAATTGCACAGCTCATTATAATATCATCATCACGCACTTGCATCACAAACGTCACTCAGATATTAGTAATAACTACAAGCTATTGCAGAACTATACTAACCTGGTGGATAATACGCCATCCATAGACCAGGTTGCAACACAAGATGAAACGGTCATGATTGACGAGCCACTCTGGTCGTGGCTGGTATAGGCTACCTGCTTGAAATAGCACCGAATCGCTATAAAGTGTAACTTCTTTTCGGCTTCTCTTGCCTGGGCTCGTTGGCGGGGTCATCTGATCATTGCACACGACGAAATCCACTGGAAACGTTTCCGAATATAAATCAAGCAACTGGTGTAGATTGCGCTGGATTTGAAGTAGCTGATATGATACGACTTCGCGTCGACGTTCCATCTCAATTAAGTCTGGAGCATCGGCCTCACACAATCGCTCGAGGCCTTCCAAAGCTTGTACCAGATCGTTTGTCTCAACTCGCGATAGCCTGGCGCATACCGCTTTAACGACCTGTACAACACCGCTTGCACGAACGACTCCGCTGCTTTGTCTCAAGATACGTGAAGCTTCCTGCCGAAATGTATCCAGGTAAACCCGGATCTCAAGAAGTTCCACCTATAGTTCAGCATATCACATAATGTAGCATCGCTATGTTAGTTTAACATTGCGTTAGCTATAGAGATTTTGTATACCAGCCAGAAATCAACTTGTCTGGATCTCCCGTGAGTGGAATGATGATATTATGCACACAGACAAAAAATCGAGACAATGCCTTAGGTTTTATAACAACCGTTCATATAACAATAATTTCTCTATTGTTGGACGAACGCTGATACACACGGATACGCAACGTAACTGAACGATGATTAATGAAAATATTGTTATAGCAGTTCTTAAACAAGGGTTTTTACGACCACACAATTTACGTCACTTTGTTTACTAATTTTTGTGCACTTCTTTCTGTTCGATGTACAGTGTCATTGAACACCAAAGCGATCTTGCCAATGAAAAGGCTTGGTCAACATATGTAAAATTCATCTTACATTGTGGGAGTCAGCAGGGAGAAGATCGCAGCTCTTTACATCCAGGAAGTGCGCGTCGTCCCGGAGCACTCGCTGCCATGGCCTGCGGAGCTCCTCAATTTTAACAAGCGTCAGATACAGCGGTCGGTCAAACTTCACACACCAGTGAGCGTACTCGTATTCGCGAACCATCGAATCAGATGTGAGGTACTCAGCTCGTCCACGTACCCGAAGCGCGTAATTATCCATGTTGATATCATCGAGCCCGGCTGAGTAAACAACCTGTGAGATGACATGCTGAATCGTTGTACTCACGTCACAGGTAAAGCAAAATGGTCTTTCGCATGCCGGGGTTGAGATTTCCATACGGACGCTCATTGGCTCTTGCCACCGAGTGTCTAAAGTTGGCGAGACGATCAGGCCTGGAAACAGAATGACTCAGTGAATGACTAAAGTATTACTCTTTCATTTGGATAGCCTGCAGGAGACAAACTGGCCGAATTTGTGTTTTAACTAATTAGCCAACAAATTTCCAGGCACGAAAATAGAGAAAGCGTGCTGATCCAATTCTGTTTTTCATTCATTAGAATGCTTTAAATATATTCTGGAAGTAATTGATTGAATAACAATACACTATTTACGTAAAACATGACTTTTTGCTTCCCATTTAGTTTCTCATGAAATAAGAAGTGGGCCGCGGTAAACTCCCTGTTTGCCTCATAAGATAAAACGAACGAAATGGTATAGAGGCGTACATAATTTATCAGACTCCTTTTGGCGTGTGCTCTCCTGGCCCGCCTGGGAACAGTATCATGGCACTTGGCAGATACGTGAAAACGAAGCTGCGTTTTCCGAAATGGCCTTTTTGGCTGGTATCCTTTTTGTTGGTAATGAGACATACTAACGGAATAGACAACAGCGTCTTTCAAGAAGGAGGACACACGATATGGTAACTTATCGTATCCGACAGTGACTGCCTTCGATGATATGTTTACTTCATGCGTTTGATAACGACGGTCACATTAAAAGGCGTGTACACATTTTGTGAAAAGTAAAGGACAGAGTTTGGCTCAGGTCATATGAGGTTTGAAGTACCTGCGCATTCACCATTAGCATGTGCGGTCATATGTAAAATGTCACTCTTTAGAAAACACGTGAAACCTTCAATGCAGCCTCTGAATAGCATGTATTCATAAAAAATAAAGCAAAATTTCTTAATGAAAGAAAGAGTCTCGCATTCGAATGATGATTATGACCTAAGAACGAGTCAATTTTTCAACAGTCTGCAGTTTTACCGTACTCCATACTCCCCAAATAGTAATTTGAATCAGTAATTACAAGCAATACTTTTCCTAGACATTAGATTTCGCCTATTTGGGCTGCGGTGATTCGTTAGGTGGTCTATGAAGTGGCGCCGCAGACTCAAACAAAGCCAATATTGTGGTAGATTTCGATACATTTAGAATAGAACATAATCTAAGAGGATTACGTACCAGGATTAGTAAGGTGGTCGTCATGGGTAAACTCCGATCGAAGTTGTTTGCATTTACTCCAAAATACCTCATCGTCAGGATTGGCTGACCTCTGTCGCTGTTCGACCCGAAAACCCTCGAGGAAGCGAAGGCGTTCCTCGCTCCGTTTGGCCAGAACCTCTGATACCGAGCCGGGCGACGATGCTTCACTTGACGGACTTGCCCTTTGCGTGATCTCGTTCTCCCTGACGCAGCTAATGTCATTTTCATTGTGCAAGGTTGTTGTAACCGCTGGCGTTGACGCATCTCCCGACGTCTGTGATGGATGCTGCTGCTGTTGTTGTACGACAGTAACGCTTTCTCGTTTCCGTAAACTCTCACGTTCAGCCGGTACAGGTCGGCTAGCTTTGGGTAGCTGTCTGTAAAACATTCTCACTAGGTCAATCACAACTGCTTGCCATATACAATTATACCCTTGTTTTATCCATACATCGAGGCTGAGCTCGCGTATACCGGCACTAAATCGAAATTTGAAGTGACTCTTTCAGCTCTACTTTCACGGTATAGTCAGATCATTTTACTAGTCTGAGCGGTAGCTACGCATAGTTATATTCGCACTTGAACAGTTCTTCTTCAGACATCGCGGCTCGACTTCAGTGTACTTCGAACAAACCGAATCTTAATAAGAACTGGCGACGAAGTCCTCCCACGCACAGCTATCTTCTTTATAAGAAGATAAGCTGTTAATTCGATTCCACATCGAAATTACCTAATGAGGTGTCAAGCAATGTATAATTACTCCATTTTCAATTTAATTACAGCTCATAAGTCAAGCTAAGCTGTCGAGGCTGGCTTGAAACGTCACCGAATAGTACAGTTTATCTAGTAACCGTCTGACGGTTGGCAGTGTGTCCGTTAGTGGACTAGCGAAAAACGACAGGCGGGTTACATATCACTGTAACATGCGCGCAAAGACGGTGCCGTAACTGTTTATCCATCCTGAAAGAAAAGCCGAGCACCCTGACCAAACGGTGGCAAACCTAGGTGATCACCACAAATCGAGGGATTATAGTATTTTCTTTAGCTAGCTGTCCGGTGCTGTTCGTTAATAACAAAGGCCGACACATCGTGATATATTGGTTCTAAGTAAATTGCCAAAGTAAAATCAAATCACCCTCCTGACAAAAACGAGCTAGCAAATCCTATTCGCTTGCACTCTAACGCCAGTGGCTGTCTGCCGCTATGGGTAGAAACGATGGTGTTGCTAAAAAGATAACTAAGCATCAGCACTGTCTACTAGAGGTATTCGCAATCATGCTACAAGTAGTGCGTGGCGGGATTTAAAAAGATAGTACCCAAGCCATCAGCGTAAGCTCCCGGTTGTTCGTTTATACCGTAAAGGGTTATCACGCGTTTCAATATTTTCAGACATTCGCTAACTACGAATCTTTCGCTGTATTTCTGCTTTGCCCTGCGTCGTTTTGTTGTCTCACCTGTTATGTTCATTTGCAGGCGCAATCGTTTGTTGACCGGCCTGCTGCTGCTGCTGCTGATCCGATATGGGATCTTGTCGGTCCGTTGAGGGGGGGCCGAATGGTTGACCGCTGCCGACCACGGGCGGACTGTGGCGACTCGATGGACTCGGAGAATTGACCTTTAGCGGGTCGAATAGATCCAAAACGTCGCCGTCCCCGCGAAGGGAATCGAGGTCAAGGTCTATCAGATCCGACGTTGCCTTCCGATGCTGGATACCTACATGATCCTGCTGGTGAAGATGAGCCGATTGATAAGGTGAAGCTGCAGTAGCAAGACGATGTGTTTGCAGAGTGCTAGGGGCGTCATGGTGGCCGGCTGATGTCAGGCCTGAAGAGAGCTGTGAGCCGAAATTGGTCAGTGTGTGAAGCTGCGCAGGTGGTGGAGCTGCGAAGTGGCCGTTCTTCATCGGGGCGGGGGCGTGAACTCCAACAGGAGTGCCTGAGGCAATCTAATTGTTAGTATGAGCTTGTACGGAAATTGCAAAGGTTTAATATTCAGAATGAGCAACCTCTCGTTTTCGCACTGAGATAAAATATATATATATATATATATATATATATATATATATATATATATATATATAAAGGTGAAAATAATTTTTTCCCACATAAATTGTGCCATTTACACCTGTGGATGTAAAACAGTTGCGGTATTAAAAGCACACATATGCAGATCAAAAGAGTAGACATTTTGAATTTGTTAGATGGTTTAAAAATTGACGCGGCTTGGTACAGTCAGACTGCACGAGATACATTTTACGTTCAATACACGCGATTGAATACACGAACTTGAGCAGAAGATTAGTCAACTCTTGTTAATTTGTAGGGATCTAATGCACCGTGATAACGAAGATTTGCAGCTGGTGAACGTCCGAACATTTCGAGTCTGAATAAAGGATAACTATAAGTTATGTTTTACAACAGTAATCGGCAATGAATCCTACTTTTTCCTAGCGATGTCAAAAGTAGTCGAATGAAGAATGTAGATAAAACGACCATTTTTTGTGTTTTTATGATCTTCTGCAGTTAGTTAGACGTATTCAAATAGAATACGCTATAATAAATTAGCTATTGAATGTAGCCGGACTTGTATTCGTCATTTGAAGAGGAGGGGTTTGACATTTTTGTCCTCCGATATGAAACTTACATTGTCATACATATGTTATGAGTTAGCTATATGCAGTTATGCTCATAGGACCAAGCCCTAAAATAAAACGACATGAAGGACCTGATTGAAATATTCATTCGAATCCTGCTCAGCTACATAGTTATTATATGCAGATCATCTGTAAAATGTCTTTCAACGATCTCTCGACCGGTTTAAGGAAACCTCCTTCACTACGTTTAACATTTAATAAAAGAAGTCCGATGCCATTAAATGTGTTCCTATGACACTATTGATATGATGGCTGGCCATTAGTAGTTCCATTTAGTCCGTCGCTGAATAACCCTGCCTATGTGTTTTCAGGTCCCATAAGGTTCTAATAGACACAGAGCAGCCCTCGGTCGTTGCTTGGTAGTTATCCATCCTTCAATTTAGCGGTCCGGCGTCATTACCACTTTGATGTAGGTCCTACTATCTCAACGCCTGTTTCGGCCATCAAATTGACTGAGCAGTACACTTCTGTAACATATATCCAATATTAGAGATGGATTTCTGTATATTTTGGTATAGAAAAACACGCCAGAATGATTAGCAAATATCCATTTAGTAAAATAAGAATCAGAAGCAAAGCGTATAGTCGGAACTGCTAGACACATACACTTAGTGATTAGCCTGCCCCGGCAAGGAAAACGCGGTGGCACTTCAATCACGGATACACTAACTCTATACTCTTGTATAATGCCATCATTCTCAAGTAATTATTTCACCCTCAGACACTCCATATTTTCTATGCCATCCCTCACTGTCTTTTCTTTGTAAAATGTTCCAGTGTACAACGACCCCTTGTACCGACATATGTTATCGTTAATAGACCGATCTCCCCAACGGAATAATGGCAGAGCTAGTAATAGAAATTTCTTCTATTCGTCGTCCATTGGCTTGAGTGAGTGCCGATTATCACAGAATGCGACGTCAACAACACTTGTACCAAACGTAACGTTCAAAAATACGCAAACAATTATTCTCGCCAGCACGAAAAAGACTGGATAAAAGTTATTTTAATGAGAGACACGATGGTCCATCGACTTTTCTACGCGGTCCTTTTCCCCTGCACGGCAGTCTTTACGGCGACGTACAATTTCCTGTTGTAGAGTAGCCGGTATGTTCTCCACTTTGTTGCCTTAACGGTCTTGACCGAGGCCGCTGCTATGCTTGTGACAATGGTTACCCGTGCCTGTACGTTGTTGACGTATCGTGATGCAATCGAAGGCACTCCAGTTGTTGTTCTTGCTGCTACAAATCGGCGTTTGTATTTAGCTATAGTGTCGTACCAATCTGCGTTTGCATGCTTTTTATTTACATTCTATTTTTCTGTATGTCATTTTATAATCCGCATTGCCAAATTGCCCGCTACGACTTTCCTGTTTACCCTGCTAGACGAATTATCGAAGATTTTCATGGCTTCTCAAAACGTATACCGTTGCCTGTGACACTCGTCCGTTGCTGACCATCAGGCGCTTCATTATATGGCACCTCATGCCGTAACTATTAGTGTAAAGGTTATATGCGGAGACTCTCTGTATTAGCGAAACTTTCGACCCGGTCCGAAACAGAGATTCTATAAAGAAGCAAACAGAGCCCAGGCTAAGTATAGGCTGTTGCGGAAAACGTTGGCCCTGGCTCGCCAAGACGAAGGTTCATCGTTTAATGGAGCGCCTTTTAGCGAAGCAATTACGCTGCACTAAGTTATTACATTCTACAATAGAAACAATGGAATGCATAGTCATTCGCGAAAGCGTTTCAACGAGCAGATCGAAGCGTGCGTTTACTATACTTCGGTTGCCACCGGGTTGAACGGCATAGACATTTGTACAGTCTAGCCCGGGGTAAGTTGGCAAAGCCTAATATTACTCATCGTTCACCTTTGCGGAATAAGCAGACACCCGATTCTTCAGCCGCCAATGAATCATCACGCTCCGTTAATTGGCGCACAGGTGTCGGAACGGGAAGGCCACCGAAGTGTGCTTAGAAGCCGATGACATAGGACATGTTGAAATAGAATGCATTCGTAGTTTTTGAGCACAATGGATTACTGCTTGTCGACTCTCACCGATTCCTAGAAAATGAAACATCACAGATCTGGTGATTCCCTATGGGCTGTCGTTCTGGGCTGTTTTTCTTCTCCGCTAGCGTCTTCTATTGCACTGCCTTTATATTTAGCTGGCAAAAATCGGCCCGTCCGGTCGATTTTTGTTTGCAACTGGCAATTAGATTTTTTTTACGTTCGCCGACACAGGCTTCACGACGACTCATTGAGACTGCATTTCAAAAACGTATCAAGTTTAGCTCTTTCTAGGAACTTGCCTTACCGGGTTCTCGCCGGGCACCTGTCAGGTGGCCGACAGAAGGCGATGTATTTTCTATTTCTTAAATGAAACTGGATAGCTTATACATTGGTTATTTGTAGAGGAACTTCTAGGTGACAACCAACTTTCAATAAAGGCATTTAACCCCTTCGTCATATGCTACTCGGCACTTGCAGAGTAGGCCACATCGATTAGCTTATTAGAGCCTTGCAAGGCGATCCCGGTATATATCCACATATATTACTAATGATACTTAAGGTAAAAAGGAACTCGGTCTATCAATTTACAGGGGTCCTGAACCATAAGATGTTTCGAGTATTTCACTTAGCTTAATATTTCAACATCTGTTTCCGCAGATTCAAATGTAACTTGCACATTTATACGCTTCCGGTATCATAAGCTAGAGTAAGTTACGTGAATACAGTTTTATGCCCTAACAATGAGCGGTAACGCCATCAAGAGGAACGTCCAAAAAAAGCCAGTTTCGGCCGCTGAAGCAATAAGAAGCTAAAACTATTATATGAACACCATATTGTCACTTTAAGATAACTCCAGTATTTGGTTTATTCCGTATAAGCTGTATATTACGCCCACGTAATCGCCAGATAGTGAATAGCAGTTTAGAAGAACCTAGGTTAGCCTTTACTTTAATGAAATCAATAACAGAGAGTTCGTTAGCTAAAATATTTTTACGCAGGTTATCTAGGTCAAGCACAAATCTAGTCTATCCCATCGCATTATACATTAATCATGTCTTTACCACTTGGTAGAAAACGCAAACTGGAAAACCTACTCGTAAACGCAATATGCTTAATGCAAGTTATTTGGAAGCGCCCCAAAGGGCAAAACATTCATGGTCCTCGTGTCGGCATGCAACAGCTAGCACGCTCCAGAAATGTGTTTCTTTTTTAGATCTGTTCTTAAAACGCCGCCCACAACTGAATCTTGCAAAATGGAGGGATCATAATGGTCTTCTCTGAAATTTATACGTAACGTATGCGGAGGCCGTTCGCACTTTTACGCAGAAAATCCATTCAACATCGTACACCCGCGCATATTGGCATATGCGTCGAGCCTCTAGGCCATTGTACGCCGGTGATCGTGACTCTGGCCTGACTGTGGCCTACGTATATATATATATAGAATATATTACATTCTTTCTTCTAAAATAAATAAGATAAAAGTTCTTTTAGATATCGTCGCTTGGCAGACATATCGTTGACGATGCTATTTTGAATGACATGTGTATCTGACTAGACAAAACAAAGTTTGCCCTCGTCTTCGAACTGGTTTTGATTTCGAATTTTCGCTCTTTGATAATACTAGATAAAGTTACGTTCGGCATGCCCTTCTATTACTTACTAAATTAAGCCCACCTACCTAAGCAGATGCGGTCATCTCTGGAAATGTTGTTGACCAAGTACAGTATACTGCGACGACTTAAGAAAAAAATATCATTCATTTTAATAACTAAATTAATTAATTTTGGTACTGTGGGAGTTTCTCATACGAAAAACAAAAAAAAAAAAACACAAAAGTTAATAGTAGCAACACAGTTATTAGAAAAGAGGCATCATGGCATTCGTAACTAAGATTATATTAAATTGCAAGGCATGTAAAATTATTATACAAATTGCATTCTCAGCCGTTAATCGATCGATTGTTCCGGTCAATCCATGAACATACGCTTATAATAAGCGTTGTAGCTAGATAGCTTATGACCGTGCATTTTTCGGGGATGGAAGAAACCTCACAGCTTTCTAGCTATAGATCATGGACTTGACCGTGAGGTTTGGCTAAACCCCTTTCAAACACGACAGAATATATAATTGTGTATGCATTTAGTAAGTAACAGGATTGATTTTGCTGCTAACCGAATTGAAGCTGTCGTTATCCAGTTGAAATGGTATTCCTTGTTCATCGTAATGGTTGAAAACAACCAGAGTGTGTTACATAGGCCAAAATACC